CGAGTCCAACAGAGCCGAAAGACGAGTTCCGCGAGACGAGTCGCGACTCGCGAGTCAATGTCACGGCTCGCGAGACATGTCGCGACTCGCGAGTCAGGTCGCGAGTTTCCCCCAGAATTTATATATTTTTCGAAGACGCGCGACTCGCGAGAAGTCGCGACTCGCGACTCGGCAAAAGTGTAAGTCGCGACTCGCGACTTATGTCGCGACTCGCGACTTGATCGGCGCGATTTTCGAGGACGAGATTTTTACATCAGGTTTTCGACCTAGACTGGAATTATTCACTTCCAGACCTTGTTTTTACATGATTCTCTGGAGAAAATTCACTTTTTTCGTTACTTTTACGCTTTTGATTCGTATTGGAGATTGAAAAACTCCTATTTACCGCTTTGGATTTGGATGCTTGTGGATTTTAACATTGGGATTCTCTATTTTTAATCGTAAGTTCTTATTTTCTTCAATTGTTGAGTTGATGATGATGGCTTGGGTTAATTTGATTGTTCTTGTTCAATTCCACATGAGTAGCTAAATCCATACGCTAGGGATAGGGGATGATTGATTAGGTTTGATAATAATTGCTAGTTCTTGATTGTTCATATCTATTCAAGTTATGCTTATTCTAGGGTTAATAGATTGATCACCTGTTTAACCTAAATAATCAACGTGTGGAACCGAGAGGGGAGACGTTGGTCGACATAGGCTTGTTTAGAGTAGACTTGTTCGTAACTGTATTGTCTATGCGTTGCGGGAACTGATAGTTAATCGTTTACATCCACTCTCTTGTTCGTAACTGTATTGAGAGTGAACCTCTGAACGAAAAGCGATTCAGGTCCTTAAACCGAGCAGTTGATTGCCGGTAGCTGTGGTAGAACCGAAGCAATTATCCCCGATTCCCTAGCTCTTTAATCATTGCGTGAATATCTCTGCTATTTTAATTGCTTTTCATTAGCTCAGTTTCTTAGTTGATAATCAAAACCAAACCAATTCGAATAGAGTGTTTAGGAATTTTTCTTCTCTTTTTCGTGATTGAATAATCGTGCAATTGAATCCGGCTAACCTTCCTTGCGATACGACCCGGTGTTGAATCTTTCGATTCTACTCCGGTAAAAATACTTACAACCTAATGAAAGCTGAGATGGGGTCTATGGACACCAATCAGGTCTGGGCTCTTGTAGAACCACCCGATGGGATACGTCCCATTGGATGCAAGTGGGTTTACAAGAGAAAGAGGGGATCGGATGGAAAGGTGGAAACCTTTAAAGCTAGGCTTGTTGCGAAAGGTTATACCCAGAAAGAGGGTATCGATTATGATGAAACCTTTTCGCCAGTAGCTATGCTTAAATCCATTCGGATTCTCTTAGCTGTAGCCACTCATATGGATTATGAAGTCTGGCAGATGGATGTGAAGACGTCTTTCCTTAATGGGAACCTTCAGGAAGACATCTATATGCAGCAACCAGAAGAATTCATTGCAAAAGGGCATGAGCACTTAGTTTGTAAGCTTAATCGGTCCATTTATGGACTGAAGCAAGCCTCAAGGTATTGGAATATTCGGTTTGATGAGGTAATCCAGTCATATGGATTTACCCAATGTCCGGATGAGCACTGTGTATACAAGAAGATTAGTAGAAGTGTGGTGGTGTTTCTTGTGCTATATGTGGATGACATACTTCTTATTGGCAACACAAGAAGGAGTTGTCGGACGTTAAGGCGTGGTTGTCTAAGCAGTTTGATATGAAGGACTTGGGTGAAGTAGGACACAT